AAAGATATATTTCCTATTGTTAATAGGGGGACATTCCTAGTCTTGTATTGTTAGCTTCCCTTAATAAGAGGACCTAGTCGCTCGAGTTTTGCCGTTATAATCCCCATTTACGGCAGATATTTGACAACATCAAACTGGACTGATACACAAACAAGAGAACTTACAATACTCATGGTCGAGGAAAAAAGTTCCGATAGCTATAATGAGAAATATACTTATGACGATTTTAAATCTCTTAAAGTACTCTCATAGGTCGATCTGGTATAGTTCCAAACCAATACCTATGCAAATGATTTATGACAATCATGTCCTCGTAGCACAAGAAACGGTGCTATAAATCATACTACACACTAAACTCAAGTGGTCATTAATCGTCCATCATTTAAATGACCTTGATTAGGGATAATTTTCGATTGAAATATTTAATTTTCACTTGACAGGTGTTTCTTTATCCAAGACACGGTCTTGATACCCTGTTTTGAATATTCTCAGAAATCGAATGGACTCATTATTTAATTCTAAACCACAATTAAATAGTTTGTGGAATTAATAGTAAAATTTTTATTCCACTATGAAACTTTTCAACTTTTCAACGTTTCATCTTATGATAAATGGTTTCCCCAAATGTTTAAAAGTAATACTCTTGACAAAACATTAACAGAAATCACACCCATCTTCAACTTGACAACCTACAATCATCAACGTTCGACAACGAACTTTCCATTGAACAACTTTCTTATTATTGCCTTTAAGGCAACAATATTCTCAACATATATTTCAGTAGACTTCCTGATGGTGCTTTGCTTGGATTTCTTTCCAAACGGCTCACAATGATTTGGGATACCCTAATCACTTGTGATCATGGAAATTTACCTTTAATTTCCGCACATTACACATGGATTCACGTCCATGTTACCATTCTCAAGCCACGACGCATTTTAGCTCGCGCTTATAAACGACTTCCTTGTTAAGGATCTGATCCTTGCTAAGGATGTGCTTGCAACATCAATTCTCAAACTACATTTGTTTCCATGCGTCAAGAACTCATCCGTTTTAATTATCAAAGTACTTTGGATGTTTTTGATCTAACGATCCATAACTTAAATTTAAATTGATTGGTATTTTATAATTCTCATGCTCTAAGCATGTAAGTTGAGTGAAGAATCCATACCATAGCATGCATGATGGTTTTAATTGCAGAATTATTCCCAATTTCATTCCATTCATGTGACCTTTTAGCTCATCCAGTTCCACCGAGTCTTACTAAACTGTTGTCTATGTGATACGATTGAAAGTCTCTACTAAAGTCTTTCCTGTCTGACTTAGTATTTGCCTAGCTTATACTTAGTTCAAACATTTACTTAGTTTTATACATATGGGTCGAAAGCTTTTTCAGGTCCTTCATGTTTAACATGGTAAATTTCTCTACTCATTTAAACATTTTATTAAGTATATACAATAGATCTTAATTCCCAATATGTACTAAGTATCCCCATTTGCTTGGTCCTTTCAAATCTAAGTATTTACCATTTGATAGTCATTTCACAATAGAGTTCGTAAACTTCTTGTTGGACCTTAAAAGATTGACTCTTGCTCCCACTAAACTTCTTATCCATAAGAATTTCTATGATTCTCCATAAGCCAAACCTTTTATTAACTTTATGAGAATACACGTTCCAATCCCTACATGCAATGCTTCAATTAATCCCACAATGGATTTCTTGAGCTTGCATTCAAATCTAGCATTATGTAGAATTACAAAATCCTTAGACTATATCCATAGTCTCTTCCAAAATCCATTTCTAGGAAGGCGGTTTCGTTATCTATTTTGCCGTATTTTATATGGGCAATTTTGCTAGAATAATCAAGAAAAGACTTAAGCATTCCGATTAGTGAATAGGTTTTATCAACACCGTGAATATCCTTTTCAACTAATCTAGTTATGTATGCATATACATTTCCACATTTGTTAGTTTTGTCCTTGAAAACTTATTGCAATTGATGGGTCTTTCCCCCTTCATGCAAATTAATCAAGTTTTAAACATGATTTTCAAACATGGAGTCTATTTCGGATTTTATGTCCTCTAACCATTATTCAGAATTAGGATTTGTCGTAGCTAATTTACAAGACACTATTCCCTTATCATCTAATAGTAAATAGTATGCTTGTACGTCTTAGGTTTAGGATTCAATCCAAGCCTTCGGTGAATTCTATACCTATAAGGGGTAATTGCATCAAACACTGAGTTTCAAGGTGCTTTTAAAGCCCTTTGATTATATTGATCTTACTCCAATACTTCTAAAGTTTTGTGAGGATTGAATTCTCATTTCAGGCACTTGTGAAGTTCTTTGAGTATTCTTGATCAATTATTCCCACGAAGCCCTTCTAAAGTCTTCGGAGATTCGAAGTTTAAGTTTGTTGCTAATCTTGATAGTCATCGAGTTCATTTTCCTCCCACTCGTCGTTTTGGAAATGTGTTACTTTCCAGAAAGACACCACTTAGAGCAAAAAATACTATGTTCTCAATTAGGTTGTGGAAGTAATGCCCGTAGTCTCACTTGGATGCTTACAAAGAGACAGGTATATTGTCTTTGGGTAAAAGTTTTTTGTGAAACAAACAGTTAATTAGCTCCCACTTGAGCTACCTTAGCCCTTATTGAGCCACTTAGCTCCCATTGAGCCAATGAACTCCCACTGATGAGCTAAGAGCCCTAGACATATACTTGAAAAGACTCTAGAAACTATTTCTATCCATAACTAAATATGTTGTCCTTTCTTAGCTTTGACAATTTTGTTTAGTGTAACATTAGTAGTTTGTGCAAATCCTTAAGAACTTTATAGGAAGGGATATGATCCATCATATTCGAGTCATTTTCAAATGGCATCGAGGTCTCCCTCAAGATATTATATATTCTTTGTGGAGCTCATTATGAAATTCCAATTTCATAACTTTGATATGATCACTCTTGTCTCAAACAAACATCGCTTGATCTAATCTAGACGTTTTGATATCTTGCCAAGTCGATTCTATATTTCACTGAACTTTTGAGCTACTCAAGGTCCAGTTTGTTCGCATTTGATGAATATAGCCATATTCTTTCAAATTATTGTGAGACATTGAAGTAATGGAATTCTCTTTAGCTTTCAGAGTAAATTGTCTATGCCAATCACAATAGCTCCTTTCTTTGTCGATTTCAACAAGTAAGAGTTACTTGTCTTAGAACGATTCTGAATCGATCAACTATCAAGAGTCTATCTAATAGAGCCTTGAGTACGTTCTTGTCGATGTGACATTGCTAAAGATATTGGGAACACAAATCATGTCCATGACTTGAACTTTGTGAGTTTTCATGTTAGGGAAATGATTATTTATAATCAAGCATTCTTGACTCATGGCTTAAACGACCATGCCATTCAAATAAAACTCGCAACTATTGCTCTTCTACTTTGAATGTGAGTCTTTCCGTTTGTAAACGGATTGTTTGCTGATTATGGAACATAATATCCATTATTCGTTCCAGCCTTAGTTTCAAAGGTCTTTAAACAAAACAAATGACTTTACAACTAATGTAGCATTACTTGCATTATTCTAAGCTTGTAAATCAATAACTTAGCTTAACTTCAATGGTTGGAGTTCACTTTCAAAGTGGAACACTTAAGCAGTATCCGATACTTGTGAAGATAACGAGTTGCTAAGTTAACTACGATAACATGAAGTCATGGATAGAAAAGGAATCTTATCCCTTTTCTTTGTTCCTTGTTTCCTATATTTCTTATCATAAATCATCTCATAACTTTAAGAATCATTTCTTTAAGTGCCTTGACTTTTACACTTTGTTAGGCATAATTAAGCATTTAATGCGCCATAAACAAAGTTCCATCTTTTCTTCTAATTCGTACTTGAATTACTATATCAATGAGTCCTACTCATTAGTGTATGAAGCGAAAAGATATGTTGGTTGTCAACTATTAACAATTGTGCTTTTTCAACTCAATATTTCATGTTCATAAAAAACAATCTAGTATTTTGAATACATGATATCCAACCATCCTTTTGGACTTTAGTCATCAAAAGTCAGTTATGAGAAGTTATATTTTAGAAATGCCTTTTCTTTCCTTGAGAACCATTCTCAAAAGATTTCCTTTTACCAGTCGTTGGAAACATTATAATTTGATTTAGAATTCTACAAATATAAGTGCAAAGTATAACCATTTATCAACTTAATAACATAATAAGTTTGAGTTCTAAAGCATACATCCAAACTTTCAATCTTATTAAGCGTCTTATCCACGCATTAAAATTGTCCCTTTTGGGCGAGAATAAAACGATTCCAAGATTTCAGAAATCAAAAAGTGATTAAGCATGCTTTGGCTTGTCTTAACACTTAATATCTTAAGGTAAGCAATCCAATTGCTAATAGCTCTAAGCTACTCTTGGTTCAATAAAACGTCGCATCTAATGCTTCCTTGACATTTTATCTAGGACTCCTTACTGATATTGTTGAGCTTAACAAAGACCAACTTGTATACCTAGTATACCTTACGTTCCTAGGGAAGTAGTGATGCCTCGCTTTAGCGTAGCCCATCACTACGCGCATTAGTTCGGTAAGTGTTGTTCTTGGAATGGCAAATTTGGCTCAATTTATAGGGACCTAGGGTTTCTATGTTGGTTGATTTAAGTGAACTTAATTAATCATCGTAACATTCAAAATCCTAGACATGCATCTAACATATCATTCACATATATAAGCATAATTATATATAGAAAGTATAAGTAAAAGATGCATTTGGAAACTAGCATGACCCCTTGAGTCTTCAAGTCTCAAGGGTCTTCGATGCATCCTTTTGGCTTGTCTTCTTAGACACGCCGTCTTTAAGACATCTCCACCAAATATGCAACTAATAGTTACTATGACTAGGACTAATCTAAATATTAAGGTACAAAAATACACAACGGTACGCAGACCGTATTAAATTTACAAAAATACATAACGGATCGCAGTCCGTATTTACTATCCTAACCGGGCTCATGCATTTTACAACAAAAAAACAAGTAACAATGCATACACTAGGCTAAAAATGTAAATGGGCATCGACTTAAACCCCCATATAGCACCGGTTTTGAACCGGTGTAGATTTAAGGGATTCCAAAAAAAAAAACATTAGCATCGGTTCAGAACCGGTGCGAATAATGGCCCAGAAAAATTAAAAAAAAAACTTTTGGCACTGGTTCAAAACCAAAACCAGTGCCCTTTATGGCCATAAAAAAATATTTAGGATTTTTTTCACTTAAATTGTACCAAATACTTATATATAATCATAATATACATAAAAGGTCAACTTTCCATTTGTAAACAACATCAGACATTCCTGTTTTATCCATCTTGTCCCTATCCTCATCACTTTCACCAACTTCATCCCATATTCGCTACACCCAATCAAAAAATGACAATCAACACAATGCTAAGATGTTCGAAACACGATTTTCTCATTCCACTTTAATTACCTGTAACTGCTGTAGTAGAGACCCACAAGTGGTTTCTCCTGTAAGAGGATTTTCTGCATCTGCCACTGCCATTGAAGAAGGAGCCTATTACAGACTTGCATTGAACCCAAAGTTTCAGCTTCTTCATTTAAAAGAAAAGCCTGACTTCTAATTGATAAAAACAAAACAAAAAACACAGAAACTATCTTTTAGCTGAATGATCAAAATACACAAATAAACCCTCATTCCTCCATCGATTTCTCTCTTAGTAGTAAACCAACGAATAATCACATAAAACCGCAAAACAACAAATGACTTGAATATTCCAAGAAAGAATACGAGTGATAATCACACTAGGACTCCCATTCACTCTATCATATATATACAGAAAAACAAAGCGATGGTTTCAATCACCCTCCAACTGTGATAAGAGCATAGATGACATGGCAATAATATGTGACATACCAACTGTCAATTACAATTGGTACTACCATAAAATTAATAGGTCTGAACACCGAAGTTAACTTAAATTGGGATTTGAAAAAGGCAGCAGAGGGTAAGTAGCATGGCAGCATATTCAAGTCATTCGATGAAGCCAAAACACAACTCAGAAAATCAAATCCAAAACTGAAATTACAGCTTCATTTGACAATTCTTTCTGCCCATATTCTTCCAAAGACAATGCATCCAACACATTCTATCATGTGAAGTGTGTTGAGTGTTAATAATTTTAACGAAAGTACATGATACAGACATGGTTTGGAACTGAACGGCTACAATAAAGCTCAATAACCCACAAAGTAGTCCACAAGTTACAGGACTAATAACTACCAATGAACAAGGTAAGAGGTGGGAAAAAAAAAAAAAAAAAAAAAAAGACTCACATGAGTTACATTTCTCAGCCCAAACAAACAAGTCCAACATCAATATGAGCAACAAAGCAAAAGCTACTAAAATTTGCCAATATTAGAACTTAGACAGAAAAGAAGACACGGCTAGAAGAGTGACATATGCTTTTATAAGAACAATTAAAACTCTAGAAAATACAACATGAATTAATTGTAGTGGAGATATCACAGCCATACCAGCCTCCACTAATATGACTTAACAAACTTGTTTAGCATCATCCCTAAACTCTCCTTGCCAACAACCATACCAACCAAACTAATGCATTCCATTGCTTTTGCTCGAAGCATCCGGTTAGATTTGTCTGTTGCATTAACAAGGATAGCCTTCAAGTAAGGCATGACAGCATCATAATATTTTTTAAAATGCTCCTGCAAATTTCATCATGTTAAATTCTTATTTTCCATAGCAATATAATCTGATCAAACAAACTTTAGTTGCAGATGCACCTGAGAAGAATAGCGACTAATGCCAATGCAATCAAGGCTCCCTCTTGAACCAATTGTTTTCCATTCTAAATTGATGTGCAATTGTTCACATAAACACAGTAAAAATCAAAATAACCAAGAAGCTTTGCAAGGTATAAGATGTTATTATATCCAAGAGAAAAAAAAGGAAAGGAAAGGAAAAAATGCACAACTTATATTTACTTGTAACAGAACAAGTAATTTCCTCACCACCCCATCCATGTAAGGAGTTAAGATATGTGGAATGCATTTCTCGCTAAAATTAAGAACAGTTGAAGCAGCATGTGCCTGCATAATGCAGAACAGTAAATCTTCATGCATGTATGCTACTCTACTCCGCACATTTTAAGTGTTCTTAGATATACCAACAAAATCAAATTAAATGACAACCAATATAATATTCACAATACATCCACAAATCAAATTATTGAAATGTCAAAATTCAAGTATTAAATACTCAAAAATACTCACAATTCAAATACTCCGTATACCCATAATTCATTCCGTGTTCCGTATATTCACAAGTCCAAAAGCTCAAATTCACAAAATCCTAGATCAATCGCAATTATTGAAACAAATTAACAAAACCCTAGATCAATCGCAATAAAACTGAGTTGTGGAATCTGATTTCAAACCCCAAAACTTACTATCAAGTCTGCTAAGGCTACTAAAACCCAATCAAACCCATAATCTAACTAAGTTGAAACACCTAGATATCAAAATTACAAGAAAAATTAAAAAGGGGGTTTCTGGGAATCAAAAAATTACAATAATCATCGGACAAGAGGGACAAAATCAAACATCACATACAAATTCAAACTCAAACACAACAACCAAATCACAAAATCCAAATCAAAACCCAAAAACTCAACGAAATTGAAACCCTAACCCAAATTATACAAAATTAACAAAAAAAAAAGGAAGGATAAACCTTGTGAGGAGAAGCGTCGCCATTAGATGACTGCGGTGGTGGTGGTTGGTGGTGGAAAAGAGAGCGAGAAGAGAGAGAAGACAGAGAGTTCGAGAGGAGGGAGAGCGAGATGAGAGAGAGGCAGATGAGAGAGGAGGAGAGATCGAGGAAAGAGAAAGAAAAAAGATAATTATGGCCGTTTTTTTTTCAATAGCATTCGCACTGGTTCAGTTTGGTTTGAACCGGTGCGAATTCCCCTTTCCCTCAATCCCGCCTATGCTTTTGGGCACCAGTTTTTAAAAATCGGTGCGTATTTTTTCGGTGCTCGTTTCTGTTTTTCTACTAGTGATAACACGTGCAAACTAGTAACTAACTTAGGTGGTTAATCCGATTAACGCGCCTAATTAAAACTAGTCAAAGTTGTTAACCAATTATGTGATTAAAACGCAATAAAATTAGCTCAAGTAATTAACAAAGCTCCCACTAAATTCCGTATCCAACTTAATTAATCCAATTAATAAAGTCAGTTAACCCTATTTTGCCAAATTATTTTGCAAGTGCCGGAGGAACCGAGGCCTAGCCACGTTAAAATAATGAAATAATTAAAACGGCAAAAAATCGCAAAACACATAGCCCAACGATGCTTTATGATGCCCAAGCGCTTAGCACCAAGGCTCGAGGTGCCTTGCATGGCCGCACCCGCACAAGCGCTTGTGGCCCAAGCACGTGGGAGTGACTTCAATGTCGCATACGCGTAACACCGACCACATCAACGCACTTGCACACACACAAGACGTGGCCTCAAAGAACCTAAATCACGTGAGCTTATGCTGTCTAGCAACACATCCCAGCACCAACGCACCCCTATTGTAGCATCTTGTGAGCATCACCCACGCATCCTCGATGCACCAAACAGGCACACACTGCACTATGCGTGTAGCACCAAGCGTGCATCTAGCTCAAGCACGCCACACAGCAGCATGCCTTGGAGGCATGAGCAGCCCCATGTGCACCTCGGCAGCCACATGTGGGCTGCATGAGCAGCCCGGCTAGCCGAAGGGTGTGCTTGGGCGATCTTTGCCTCGATTTACGTGCTTTTATCTCGAGATTTAATCCCGATATATGTGTGACATAAAATTGATTCTAAATTAATTTTAGAAGCAACATTGAGCAAGAATGAAAATAAAACAAGTCTAACTTAAATAAATTCAATTTTAGTGCACAAACCAAAATTAATTCAAGAACCGTTCTTTAAATTATATTTGGTTCATCTTGATGCTTCAAAATTGAAGGGTTATACTCTCAATTAATTTAATCAAACATAAGTTAATAATGAGAATTGATAAAAATTAAATGGGTTGGAAAAATGAACACATTCATCCAATGAAAATTTTCCAACAATAACTTGTGTAAACTTGAAAAAATTACATCTTCCAATATTAAGATTAATTAAATTTCAATCACAAGTTTTGAAATTTTAGGACTTTAATCGACTCAAAAATAATTAAATCCAAAAATTAGTTCAACATGGAATTTAGAAAGTAAAGTTCCAACCAAATAAACAGTTAAAGATTGGATCTTTAACATTTTTAAGGGACTTCAAAATTACAAATTCACCATAAACATTCACACACGAGCAAGAATCTCCTTGTCAAGTTGGGTGGTTATGCCCTGAGCAGATGTCCACCGCTAGAATCTTAGGAAACTCTGCTGACGTGTTGTACTATGCTGAACGGGGTATCAGGCAATCAGTGAATGCGGGAGACAAGTTTATATTCGTCCAATATTATGAGAAGTACCTCTGATTATGCTAGTCAAGTTCATTTGTTTTCCCAGTTTATTTGTTGTAATAGGCTAACTATTGATTTGTTTGTCTCGTGTGTAGTGCTCATTGGACCCTACTTGTGATTTGTGTTTCCAGTAACACAATCTTCTACTTTGACTCTGCTCGGTTGCCTCAAGTAAGAAAGCGCCTCGTGAGGTCCATACTACAAAAGTAAGTATCTAGTTTGTTTCAATTCTTGTTATTCATTTTCATATCTTAACTCATATGTATTGATTATACTAGTCAAATTTGAACTTATTACTTTGATTTTTCGTAGTACCATGAAGAAGATAAATCCTTGATCTCCTCGAGGTCCTACATGGAAAGCACCCAAGGTAATTCACCCATGATGTTGTGATTTTCTTACTTTACAATGCTTAAGATGTCGCTTATTTGCTATGCATTTTGATTCATGTGCTTTGTTCCTCATGCTAGTGCGCACAACAGCAAAACGGAGTTGACTGTGGCCTATACGTGATGAGATTCATGTATGACATAGCAAACAAAAGGCGCGAACAAGCAATTGGCAACGGTTAACCGTTGCCAACTAAATTAATTGGCAACGGTTTTGAACCGTTGCCAATTTTTTTGGGATTTGGCAACCCTCAAATACTCAACGGTTCAAAACCCTTTCCTTTGGGGGGGTATGAACCGTTGCCAATTTGCTTGTTTCGTGTAGTGACACTTGAAGCAATTGATTTGCAAAATGTGAAATAGCAAGTTTATGTGAAAAATGAGCTCACCAAATTAAGCACCAAATATGACTTCATAAACATGCTTAATAAGGTTTATTATTGCAGTAGATTAGTGATGCAACCATACATATAATCTACCATTAACATGTCAAAATTAATCAAGGTTTAAAGATTTAAAATTTTTCGTCAAAAAGGAAAAACCCCTCGAAAAACATGTTTCTAGGTAGATTTTGGCTTTTGGACAGTCCTCGATTAGGGTCAAAAATGATTTAGAACATCGATTCCACCCAAAATTCACTATTTTTGGGTCGAAATCTGGGTTCGTGAGCCAAAACTAGTATATATACGAGATTAAAACTAATTAAAACGAGCTTCTAATCTAATTAGAAAGCAAAACCAGAAATTTAAATCCATTTTAAATCACCTCAATTAATTATTAGTTACAATAATTAAAATGAGCGCAGCTCCAATACCGCTGTTAGGATTCGTAATGTCCAACACTACGCGGAATGAAACCCGCCCAAGACCCGCACACACATTAATGTAACTAAACATGCAATCACATAATTAAACAACAAAGAGAGAGAGAAGGAGAAAGACGATCTTACCCTCGACGCGTGCTTCGCTCTCTTACGAGCTCTTACTTGAAAGCTCTAGCTTCGCAAGTGCGTAAGCCTCCAACGGCTCGCACCCTCAAGATCCGACCCGAACGGTCCCTACCCCGAAGGTTAGTTGGGGCTAGACCAAGAAAAGACTAGAGTATTAAGAACTTAAAGGTTTTCTCACCTATAGGGAGATGCCTTATTGAGTTCAACTCAAGTCACTACAAGAAAACTACCTATTTCCGACGGACTTTTTCCGTCGGAATAATCGAAAAATTCCGTCGGAAAGGGTCCGCCGGAAAACCCTTCGTCGGAAAATTGGAGTTTTCCGAGGGAAATTCCGTCGGAAAGAACTTTTCCGAGGGAAATTCCGTCGGAAAGAACTTTTCCGACGGAATTATTTCCGTTGTAGAAGGATTTGACTTTCAACGTCAGTCCGTCGCAAATTTCCGACGGATTTTTCCTCGGAATAATTCGTCGGAACAGTTAACTTCCGACGGAATTTTCCGTCGGAATATTCATCTTCCGACGGAATATTCCGTCGGAAAAAGAAGATTCCGACGGAATATTTCGTCGGAAAAATTATTAAAAAAAATAAAAAAATAACGCCCACCACCCTGTCTAGGCCCCTAACCCAAGCCAAACCCCACCCACCACCACCCTGTCCAGAACCCTAACCCAAGCCAGACCCCACCCACCATCATCCCTGTCCAGACCCCTAACCCACCTAACCCAAGCCAAACCCCACCCACCAGCCCAACCAGACCCACCCACCAGACCCACCCAGCCACCCACCAGCCCCACCAGACCTACCCAACCAACCCACCAGACCACCCAGCCACCTACCAAACCCACCCACCAGACCCCCTAAGCCACCTAACCCAAGCCAGACCCCACCCACCAGACCCACTCAGCCACCCACCAGCAACACCAGCCCCACCAGACCCACCCAAACAACCCGCCAGACCCACCAGACCCACCCAGCCACCCACCAGACCCACCCAGCCACCCACCAGCCCCACCGAGCCACCACTAGGCCCACCAGACCCACCCAGCTACCCACCAACCCCACCCTGCCCCACCAAAACCCACCCAACCACCCACCCAGACCCACCCACCAAACACCCACCCAGCCACCCACCCAGATCCCACCCAACCACCTAAAAAACAAAAAAAAAGTCCGAAAAAATAAAAAAAAAACTGACCGAATACCAAAAAAATCCGAAATAACAAAAACCAAATTAAATAAAAATTGAATGTACAAAAAACAAAAAAAAAAAACTATAATATACAAACAAATTGAATATACAAACAATCAAATTGAATATACAAACAAATTGAATATACAAATAAAAATTGAAAAAAAAAAACGAATTTACTAATTCTATAATCAATTTGTTCTTCAAATCGAGGGCGTTGTTGTTGATGTGAGGGGATATGGCCCGGCGTTGCTCGGTGGTTGGTAGTTGTTGTTGGTGATGGCGTTGCTCGGTGGTTGTTGTTGTTGTTGACGAAAAGAGAAGGGAGAATGAAGGAGAAAGGAAGCTAAGGAAGGAGGAAGGAGGAAGGGGTGAGAAAGGAGAAAGGGGTGAGGAAGGAACAGAAAAGAAGAAGGAGGGGAGGAGGAAGGAACGAAGAAGAAGAAGGAACGAAGAAGAAGAAGGAGAGGAAAGAGGGGAGGAGAGAGAAAGAGAAAAGAGGCGGTGAGAGGGGAGAGAGAAAAATAGGGGTTTTTTTTTATAATAATAAATTCCGACGGAATATTTCGTCGGAATATTTCGACGGAACGTAATCCGTCGGAAACCCCTTATATTATATTTTTTCTTTTATTTTTTTCTTTTACTTTTTCCGACGGATTTTTTTCCCTCGGAATTCTGTCGGAAGATGTGAATTCCGAGGGAAAAAAATCCGTCGGAACATTTCCGAGGGATTTTCCGACGGAATTTACCTTTTCCGACGGAATTTTTGACGGAAAAAAATTCCGTCGGAAATGTTGAAATTTCCGACGGAATTTATGTCCGTCGGAACGTTTCCGTCGGAAATCGACCTATTTCTTGTAGTGAGTGCTTCTTCCCAAACCCAAAACATGGGTATTTATATGGAAAGGAGCCTTGATTTGCCATTTCCCATCAATGAGGTAGAATTGCATTTTGCTCAATTTATTTTAATTCAAAAACAAATTAAAATGAAAATGAATCAACAAGCGTCAAGTGGCAAATGGTGAGCAAGGATAGGTGAGGACCACTAAGCGGGGGGACCAAACACCACTTGGTCCCCAAGCAAGGCACCAAGACCGGTCTTCCCATTGACCGGATGCTGGCCCACGCACAGCTGGTTGGCAGCCTGCCTTGGCTGCCAAGGCTGCCTAGCTGGCTCCTAGCACCAAGGCTGGGCTAGCTGGCCAGACCGCCATCGTATGCACGCAACAAACAAGCCACGCACGCAATGCGGGCTGCTGCTGCTACAATGCGTGTGCTGGTGCTGTGCATGTGGTGGGCGATGCCCAGCTGCTGCGTGCGGCGAGTGGCTGAGTGCGAGGCCTAGCATGCGAGCACACTAGCACGCACGCTAGCTTTCTTGTGACCATGAGCCCCAGCCCCGCAAGCATGCTCGGCCAGCAAGCCTAGCACGCATATGCATGCTTAGCTTATGGCATGCCTTGTGATGCGTTTAGTGGCCTAGGCTAGCCTAGCACTCACATGGCTAGGCCAATGCGAGGCTACGGCTTAGCTCGTACTTGTCGCTTGCTTAATTTCTCTTCTCGTCGAATTCTGAATTTGACTCGACTTATGACGCTCGGTTTCGACGCTCTAAGCTCGATATCTGACGTCTTTGTTCATAATACTCTAATGACTCATCTAATTATTCGGATTGATTCGTCGTCTCGGATCGGTTACTCGATTGGGGTGCGACCCGAAGGGTTCAGTTAAGATTAAGATGTAATATTAATTATACATTAATATAACTGATCAAAAGCGGTCTCCACCTAGGCATTTCGATCACTTGACCTCACTGTATAATCAGCTTTCTAATAATTCCGAACCCTCTATCGGAATAATACACTTGTTGGAAGGAAACCATTCCTTTCAATCTCCCACTTGTCCTTCCGTATTAGTGCGCAGTTAGTGTATAGCCCATTTCCTATGTCACTTAATGTCTCTTCATGAACAATAAGGTAAAATTCTTCGTCATCCTTATTACGCCCAGAAGTGTTTCCCAATTTCCATGTTCGACTGTCAATAAGCAGATGATTTCTAAAATCCATCTGATCATGGCAATGCATTTTCACAGTCTCGCTCTTCGAGAGGCCTTGAAAACAACAAAGACATGTTCCCTATTGTTAATAGGGTGACATTCCCAGTCTTATATTGTTAGGTTCCCTTACTAAGAGGATCTAGTCGCCCGAGTTTTTCCATTATGACCCCCATTTACGGCAGACGTTTGACAACATCAAAAGGGACTAGTACTCAAACAAGAGAACTTACAATACTCATGGTCAAGGAAAAAAGTTCCTATAGCTATAATGAGAAATATACTTATGACGATTTTAAATCTTTTAAAGTACTCTCATAGGTCGATCCGGTATAGTCCCAAACTAATACCTGTGCAAATGATTTATGACAATCATGTCCTTGTAGCACAAGAAACGATGCTATAAATCATACTACGCACTAATCTCAAGTGGTCATTAGTTGGGTTTCGTTGTGATAATGTTTTCATATGTTTTAGAATCTATATCATCTGCAACATGTTTCAATCCATTAGCAGAAATAAGTTGTTTTTCGACGGAAATTTTCCGTCGAAAAATACCCATATTCCGTTGGAAACAGGGTTTTCGACGAAATTTCCGCCGAAAACTTTTGCCAGAAACGTATCTGTCGGAAAATACGAGATTTTCGATGGACAATCTTTGTCGAATAAAAAAAATTACGACGAAATTTCCGTCCAAAAACTATAAAAAAAATGGCTGCCCCTTACCACCGTATCCGCCACCAACCCACCACCACCCACCCCACCGTAACCACCCACACACCCTACCGTAACCACCCACCCTACCGTAACTACCCACCCCATCGTAACCCAGAAAAATAAAAAAATTTAAAAAAATCTAGAAAAATCGAAAACAAAAACCTAGAAAAATTGAAAACAAATAACCTAGAAAAAATCATAAAAAATTGAAATAAATCATAAAAAAAACTCGAACAAAAAACCCAGAGAAATAAAAAACAAAAACCCAGAAAATATCGAAAAAAAAACCATAAAAAAAGTCGAAAACAAACCCAAAAATTCGAAAAAACAAGAAATTCAAGAACAAACCTTAATTTAGCCTTGAATTTGGTTTTATAAGGTTAAGTTCGACCATGAAAACTCTAGATCTAAAGTTTTCATGGTCGAATTTGACCATAAAAACCTTAATTTTTTAAATTTTAATGGTGTTATAGAACATAAAAGAAGAGAGAAAAAAGAAAGCCGACAGTGATAGGAGGGGCCGCGGCGGCGGTGGTGGCCTGGTTACAAGGGAGGGGGTATATGAAGGAAGATGATGAAGGGAGATCAAAGGAGATGATGAAGGGTGATGACGAAGGGAGATGAAGGGAGATGAAGGAAGAATGAAGAATGGAGAATGGAGGAAGATAAAATGAGGAGAGAGAAATTGTTTAGGGTTGGTGGCCGATTACGGGCTTAAATAGTTAGGGATCCTTTTTGTTTTTTTTTAAATTAAAAATCCGTTGGAAACTGTTAAGACCGAAAAAAATAAAAACAAAATGCTTTGTTCAAATGAATATTTCCCACGAAAATTTGTGTCCGTTGGAAATAGCATTGATTCTTGTAGTGAATCAATGCCAAGTCCCTATTGATGTCCCTTCTTCTCCACCATTTTCATCATCACTTGGCACCAAATCGTCTAACAACATGTTTAAATTTAGTCCCAAACCATTGAAAAATAAGGTAACCACGCAAAAGGAAAAAAAAAAAAAAAGTGTTTATAGGAGCTAGAAACTTGAAAATAAAAATGAAAATTGTTCAATTTATATACTCAGTCCCCTTGGTGTTTTGTGAGGAAGGATTCTAAAATTTTCAGAATCAATTTTACTCTTGCAATTAATGTCATTGGTCCCTTTTATTCTCTTTGGATTGCTGACATGGATAACAACTTACATGTAAAGTCTCTTTTTTGTCTTTCTCTTTTTCTATTGTTTCTCATTTAATGCACTTTATGTATGTTTATACTTCTAATCATGGGTATTAAAGAATCTTGAGAAACCTTAATTCCCGTGAAAAATCCCAAAACTGCATTGCATTGTAATTTTCAAGAGGGTTTGGAGAGAGTTGAGTATTGGAAGTTGTTTAATGAGTGTTTCTTCATTGTTGTTGACACGTGAACCATTTATTGTAAAATTAAAATGAAGAATTATCACCACCATTAGAGGAGATATAGAAAAATGTAATGGTGGCGACTGTTGTTTAGAAGAGAATTTTATGATTCTTCATGATGGTTTTGGAGAAAGAAATTTATGTTTGGCAACACTTGGTAGATAAATTATGGCACACCAAAAAAAAAAGATTTGTTTCTCCATAAGGGGATTGGAGAAGGGAGATTTTGTTTGGCAACCACCTGGTAGATAAACTACATACAAGGTGTTGAAAAAGAGATTGTTTCTCCATAGGGGTTCGGAGAAAGAAAAAAAATTGATAATTGGCACCTCTTGGTACATGAAATACGGGATGCCAAAAGTTTTGAGCGCAAGTTTGAAGCTATTCGCGAAGGAAGTTTGACATGGTCAACATCACTTGTCGGTGTCGGCAAGGCAAAGAGTTTTGACGATGTAACCATGGTAGTAGCGGAAGCTGGAAAAAAAAAGGATAAATAGCTCATGATACCAAGTTAGAGTTATGAGAAAGAGTGTTGTAAAGTTTAGAGAGAATAGTGGAAAGCTTAATTATATTGATGAAAAACAAGAGTATATATAGTACAAGATTAGAGTATTGAACATCACAAAACTTAGAGAGAATAGTGGAAAGCTTAATTATATTGACGAGTATACAAGAGTATATATGGTACAAGATTAGAATATTGAACATCACAAAAATATGACTAATTACAATATATGACTATATACATTAGCTAATAATAAGGGTATACTATGACTAAGGAATAATCAAGTGATTACAAACTATAAACAATAACTAATAATGATAATAATGATTTGATTATTATTATCCTTTATAATTTCACTATAGAGAATGCTAGTACATAGCTAACATTCTTGCCAACTTCAATTAAAAAAGAAAGTGCTAGAAAAATCAAAAGGTCCACAGATAGGTTTATTAAAAAGAGGTAAGTTTAAACAACCATTAGTAATCGAAAGACAACAATATTAATAGAATGTTCAAAAACATTAGCAGTAGCCAAATGGTACACCAAAACATGACTAAAACTTAATGCAGATCAACAACAGTATTGAACTGATTTATTTCAACGTGAATGCCATCAGATGCAGCAGAATTTCCAATAGCAGGACTTTTTTCACTGTCCTCACCAATTGATTTCGCATTCTTTTTAATTTCAGGAGTAAGGTTGATACATTTAGCTAGGAAGTTGATTGAACGTCTAAATGTTAAAACGAAGGCGACAAAGCAGAGTCCACATACCAAAATAGCTAACCATAAACTCTTTTTGGCAGTAACCACAAACACGCCCATTGTAAAAGTAAGCAGAGTGAGGTAAAAGGATGCACGAAGCAGATGTATACAGAGATCTAATACAACGAGGGAGCCGTGCATCTTGCCAATACCCATCACCCAAAGTAATAAGAATAGGCAAAGCATCGAGCAGCACATTGCAATTGTGTTGGTTATCACGAAAATTATGAAAGCTGGCTTTCTCAGAAGAACTGGGGAACCGTCATCGCCATCGAATCCACCTGGTACCTGAAACGCTGCTGCGAAAGTTATGGTTGCCAATAGGGCAGCAACCACAGATAGAGCATTGGCAGACTCTTTCATTTCTGTCTTGCGTATACCATATGAGCTTCTAGCTAAGGACACTGCCTTGGGTACCTTTTTCCGAATTTTTGTAATAATCTGTTGCATTCCATGAAAGGGGTCAATCACAAACATCATACCAAGTAGCATGCACGTTGCATATTACTCCGTTCCCTCAGTATTTATTTAAGTAAAAGTTTTTTAATTTCTCAGATATTTATGAAAAATAATTGAATTTATTAAATAAATATGTAAGTGGAGTATGGGAATAATGAAAAAAAAAATTAGAAAGAAAACAGTAGTGGGAGTGAAAATATTATAGAACGAAGTAGTGGGACTTTCAATAAGTAGAAAATTATTAAAATATTAAGGGAATTTTCTAAAATAGAAATATTTCAGTTTAAAAAATACGGCTAAAAAGGAAAAACGTTTTACTTGAAAAAATACGGAATAAGTAGCAATTTATACTTTACGATAACCGTTAACACATACCTCGTTTGGGACGTCGTGTGATGCAAGTAGATCCGGAATTGTGTCACCTTTTTTATCCACTAGCGCAAGTTCTCTTTGTTCTTCATCTTTCAAACATTTTTGCGTTAATACAATGGCGGCAATAGAGTTCCCAGTCCTAATAGCGTGATGGAGGGGTGTGCTTCCTTCATAATCTTGCACTAATCTTTGAGTATCTGCTTCAGGGATGTCAAATAACTGATCCCCCGCATTCTTAAAAGTGTTGGCTAAACTCTCGTCGACATCCTCCCCCGTGAAGCGCAGGAGATGCAAAAAAGTTCTGCCTCCTGAATCTCGGAGGTATGCTGATTGAGGGCAATATTCAAGTATAGCTTGTACAACTTGAAAACGACCAGACTTTGCTGCGCTCAACAACGGTGTTAGGCCTTCATCATCTCTTAGATACGCTGCATCCTTGCTTAAGCCCTTCAGCTTTTTCACAAACTTTTTTGCTTCATCCTTTTCTGAGTGGAATAGTACGTACAGTCTCAGTTTACGCAGCTACCAATTTACCAAGAACAAATTCCTAATTTAAATGATGATGTCGCGTGCCATACTAAACTACTAGTGACTATAGTCAATTGCCAATTTCTCTCAAATAATGAAAAAATAATCTATTTTCACATACAGTTGCACAATATAATACTCCGTACTTGGTACTACTGCAATTGAACTCTCCTCTAACACTTGCACAATTTTTGTGATGCATTTCATTTATACTGAAACTAAATGAATATATTACCTCCGGTTATTATTATGTGTAACTTTGGGTTATTATATGTAAGACATAAAATATTCCAAAGTTAACGGAGGTAATATATCAAGAACGAATAATAACTAGGTACGAGTAAGAATTACCAATAGAAAAGCCATATTTGGCAAAAGCATGGAGTGGAGTCTCGCCCAAGTCATCGACACGATGAGCGGCCTCCTCATCACATTCAAGCAAATCCAAAGCACCGTCCAAATTGTCAGCTTGTAAAGCCTCGTGAATTGGAAAACTGCCCTTGTTATTCTTAACCGCCCATGGGGCAACATGAAAAGCTTTCTCGCTTTCGTCTAGCTGTTTTAGAAACTTCTTGGATGCGTCTACGAGTAATTTCATTGGCACACCAGTCTTCCACTTTGCAGCAAGGTGAAGAGGCGTGTCTCCGTTATTATCCTGTCGCATGCTCAGAATTGGCCACTTGCTTAAAGCAGTCGTAACAAATGCCGTTGCTTTATCATTCCCATTTGCATGTCTAAGAACTACATGAATTATATTGCTTCCTCCCGGTGTTCGACGGCAAAACCACTCGTCGTCTCTCGGGGGCCTTTTTCCTACATCTCCCAATTCCCCCTTTTTTGCTGCTATGTAGAGTTCGTCATCCATCATTTCTTTTATCAATTCTCTCTCTTTTACACGACTTCTGTTCACCAACGGTTGCAGCTCCTTCTACGCAACAGAAGGAAAAAAAAATTGTAGCAGCATAAACAATAATGATTACTTATGATTATAATTCTAACGTTGTTCCGGAAACAATCAAGCCCATAACTATATTATAAACATTTACGTAATTATTTACATGAATAATAAGTCCCTGTAAAAAATAGATTCTCCTTTTCCATATTGGTTAATGTATACATAAATATCTTTGATTATGTATCAATATTTTTTGAGTATTTGAAAAGTAGATTCAAACGTAATTAATAAGACGTCATATGAATATGTTTTTTCTTATCGCTAAATCTTTAAACAATGTCATTTTTTTTAATTAATACACTTAATTTAAAACATGTTAGTTAAAAAGAAATGAAGGAAATACTTCATATTAAAAGAATTATCATCTTAAACTCACATTATGAGTGTGTTTGGTAACAGTGTATTTTTAGATTGGAAACGGATATAATTAAACTATTACCATTACTAAGTGTTTGGTTAGAAGGTTTAGGTTTCAACCTATTCGTTACCTCTTTAAAACCTAAGGTAACAATTACCCTTACCCTACTCAAACAAAAAACCTAAGAGATTCATTTCCATGGTTAAACCAAATTAATGAAAAGGTAAGTGCTAAATGATTTATTTCCTCCCTCTTATTTATTTTCATTCAACTCCAATTCTAATATTCATACTAAACACCCCTATATTATTATGAAAATCGTGGAAATTTTATTTTATTAGTAGGCTAATTAATTAAGTGATGATCCTTTTGTTGATTGATTCACCAATAAATAAATATATATATATATATATATATATATATATATATATATATATATATATTAAAAGCAAATCTCAAATGACACATGTCATTATGTGATTAAAAATTTTCCAACCTATTCTTTCTTCCACTTTTTTCTTTTTATTTTATAATAATATATATATTGTTATTAAATCTTGATTTAAAAAGAAAATGTTACTCAATCTAGATATATCTTATAGATAACCAATAACAAATTATATATATATATATATATATATATATATATATATATATATATATATGTATATGTATATATATATTCACACACACGCAAAAAAGCAGAGAAGTTTAAGACATATACATACACATAAAGAGAAAGAAAAAGTAAAAGTAAACTGTACCATAGAAGGAATATGGACTCGTGATGCGACTAGATCAAATATGGTGAGACCGTCATTGTTGACAAAGTTTAATTCCCTTCGGTTATCTGATAGGAGACACATTTCCATGAGAAATTTTGATTTAATAAAATTGTCATTACTAATAGCGAAATGTAAGGGCGTGTTCCCATCTTCATCTTGAGCAATTCGAAGAGCATCAACTTCACGAATTTTCAAAAATAGTCTTCCAAACCGGCATTATATCTTTCAAGTCATCAACAAGGTCTGCAGCCTGAGCCCCCATGTGGTGCAGAATTGTTCTCCCTTTGTAATCTGGAATCCCAACCGATTGAGGGTATTGTTTAATAAGAAACCTAGCCATCCCAAGTCGGCCGCATTTCACTGCCCTTAAAACAGGAGTATAGCCCTCAAAATCCCGCATGTATACAAGAGATTTTGTCAGCTCAGAAAATTTTCCTAGGAAACCCTTGAGTGAAACATTATTATGCTCCCTTTGTTCTCCCCCTTTGTTGGTTAAATTTTCTGTAGATTCAAATACCAAGGTTAGTGAAAGACATAGGCCGTATTTAGTGAAAAGTTGAAAGCTAAAAAGCAGAAGCTGATTTTGTTACCTTATTTTGATTAGCTGGTTGTATTAACTAATTTGACTATCTAATTGATTGTATTAAATGATTTGACTAACAATTAGTTGATTGTATAAAGTGTATGATAAATACTTGATTGTTTATACTTGTTTGAGTATGTAAAATGACCAATAAGCTAATTATGGGTTAGGCAGTTGTCTAGTTGAGATAAGGGTTTTAAATTAAATGGTATATAAGTGAATTTTACCTTAAGAAATTGAATAAACTAATAAAAAAGCTTCTAAAATAAAGGAGCTTAATGAAAAAGAGTTTAGTTAATGGAATAAGCTCTTTGAATAAGCTCTCCACCAAATACTATATATTAGGAGTGTTTGGTGGAAAAAAAAAACACATACATAGATAAAAAAAAATGCAATAAGTTAGTCGAATTAGTTAATATAATCAGCTAGTCAAAACCAGCTATCACAATTAATAGATTAAGTCACACCCCTAAGCTTTGCTGGAAACTCCATAGCTCTAACACTATCTTTGCCAAGCTAATTAATAAGGTAAAATCCATTACTTTGGTTTTTTTTTTTTTCGGTGGTGTTAAAATAATTTTTTTTCATGGTGTTAAATATCAATTTTGGTTTTTAATGGTGTTAAAAACTAAAATTCCCTTTTTAAAATAAGCACGTGATGAGTCAACGCCAGGGTCAACTATCGGAATCCGACCATAAGGGCCCGTTGCACAACATAAGTGTCTTATAAAATAAATTTTCACCACTTTTTATCATAAAATGACTTTTTTTACGAGAAAGTGAACATATAATAAGTCTATTTCTAATAAATTTTTTCTTTTTTAATAAATCATGTGACTACCACGTGATGGTCAATGCCGGTCTCCGATGTTAACTTGCCTGAAGATTGGACCAGGTCCTACCTCACAACCCTAGACCATCCCTTATAAGGTCGGTTTTTGCAACCTTATTGCTAAGAGTCTTTTTTCACAAAAGAGAGCACATAAAATGTCTTATCTGACAAATTATATATGTATCCTGAATCTAAACCTGATGAGATTTATAACTATTTCATGTCAGGGCCTTAAATCAAGAGGCATAAAGGGCAAGGGTGCTCTGGACAAGAAGGGAGAATTAAGGCAAGCAAATTCTAAGGAGAAGAAAGCTGTGTTGGGTCTTCCACAACTGTCAACAGGTTTGGCTACTAGATAAGATGTTCTAGCTAAGTTCTTTCGTATATGATCCTGATGAAAACTGTTACTCTTTTGGTGAAACTTAATCAGTCTTCTATGAATGACCCTAATTATTTTGTCCTAAGGGTGTTAAAAACTTACCCGATCCGATAAGTTAACCTGAAACCGGACTGTTTTCAAACAAGCTGGACCCCAGAAGTTTTTATCCGAATTCGATTTGGAGTCAACCCGAAATTAACTCAAAACCAACTTCACCCGGTAATATATGATCCAAACCCAACTTGAAATCAACTCATACTTAATCCGAAACCAGTAAGACCAAATAATTCAAGATCCAAATTCGATCTAACCCGAATAAAAAACTATCCGAAACCATTTAGACCCGAAAAAATACCTCTTTTTATCCGACCTTATTTTACCGGACCTATATTACCTGACTTGAAACTTCCATGAACCTATTAAACCCGACTCGAAATTACTCTTGGTCTAATAAAACCCTACTCATTATTAACTTAACCCAAAAATTTCCATGACCATATATAATTGAAATTGAGTTGCCAATGAATTGATGATGATAAATAGTTGTAAAGATGATAAATAGCTGCAAAACGGTAAGAAAAAAGACATTTTACAATGACGTGATAATCACCTGATAATGCAATAAGTAATCATTTTCTTTAATAAATTGAGATGTTTATCTTACACCAATTCTGACATCAATCCAACATAAAACTTAAATGAAACCCAAAAATGATATAGAGTATATATGAATTGAAATCTACAGTAACATATGATGATATAGCTGAAACCAAAATGACTCGAACTTAGATTGACCTGAATTTGAATTACACGACCCAAAAATCAAAACTAAAATAATTCTAACAGAGGATGAGCTAATAATTGAAGAACATGGCTCAAGTTTTTTAACCGAAACTGAACTGATTTGAACCGAGATCTAATCGAATCCAAAATGACCTGATCGTGAGTTTAATAAATCTGTTTTGACCCAAATAAACCAGATAAAATCAGGATCTAACACATTTGAACTCGATTTGACTCAACCTGAATTTGACTTGACCCAAATTCGATTTGTACCCGGCCATATTCGGATCCAACTTTGATTTGAATCTAATTAAGCTCAACCTAATTTGATTTGGTCTATTAGGTTAAAATTACCCGTCATTATCCGACCCAAATACCCTAACCCGTCGTGAGTTAACCCAAAATCCATCTGAATACCCGATTTGACACCTCTATTTTGTCCCCTATGATAATGGGTGAAAGGCTGTGTAATACTTTTAACTATGAGCTTGGATGTTTATAAACCTATGTTAAGTTGATCTAGTTCTATTATTTAACCAAAAATATATATATTCAGTCAACGGGATTTGAAGCAGTAGGGACCTTTTCTCTTGTTGTATGCACTCCATTATTCAGCCATGCTGCATAGCTGTCAGTTTCTAACTTAAATCGGTAAAATTGGTTGTTTCGAACCGATCGGAAAGGGCAAACCGTTAAGAACCCGATTTTGAAAACCGAAAACCGATCTGATTCGATTTTTTTAATCCGAAATTGAACCGACCCGATTTTTGCTAAACTATTAGTGACCCGTACCCGTTATCAAGCTGAACCATTATAACCCGAACCAAGAATAACCCGATCTGATTGGTTTGAACCCGATAATATTCAACCCGTTTTAAATTGAAACCGTTTAAACCTGCCAAAAACCCGATAATCCCGAACCGCTCTAACCCGTAACATGTTGTATTCGAACCGTTTACAACCCGTAACCTGTTTAACCCGAACCATTTCAACCTGTAAACCGTTGTATCCAAAGCGTTAACTACCTGCAACCCGTTTCGCCCGACCATTTCAACTCATAACCTGTTGTATCCGAATTAATAACAACACGCAACCCGTTTAACCCGAACCATTTCAACCTGTAACCCGTTGTATCTGAACCGTTGACAACCCGCAACCCATGTAACCCGAACCATTTCAACCCGTAACTCGTTGTACCCGAACCGTTAACAACCTAAAATCCGTTTAACCCGAACCATTTAAATTCGTAACCTATTGTACTTGTCGTTAACAACCCTTAATCTATTTAACCCGAACCATATCAACCCTTAACATGTATCCAAATTATTAATAACCCACAACCTGTTTAATCTGAAGAATTTCAAAATGTAACATTTCAAAACTTCAAACCTATTGTTTACAACTTTACAAGCCATAATCTGTATACGTTTATAGATTTTAGACTTCTTCTTTTTTTTAAGAAAATTAACAAAGGCAATAATAGCTTTTATATATACTTGTTAAATTTGATGAAATATCATCTCACTACGTCAAAATGTGTTATTACCACAATCAGAAATTTGATAATGAAGTCTTCAGCATATTGTAAAAAATGAACTTGTAAAGAAAGAGCAATATTATTTATGTCGTTATACATCACAAATCACAATACCTATAGTTTAAGGAGATATAATAACACAAGATGCTTAAATCTTTGGTTAATCACAATCGTTGTTGGAATTATCTTAATTACATAATAATCTTATCTAAAATTATAATAAAATTAAATATATTAATGAGGTCCAATATATGAGATATAAATTAAGTTAAACTAGTAGTTGACATAGACATAGTACCTGAATTTATAAAAGTGTAATTCGTGATAGCTTTACAGTTATGTGTGCATGTAAATGCACTCAACTCAACATGAAATTTAATTTTCCAACTTCATAATTCAATAAATTGGAAATAAAAACTGCTGGGTACTATTAAATTTTCTACAAAATCAGTTTCATACAAGCAAAAGCATCTTTTATTGTGCATTAATTATAAATTTAATTATGTCATAAGCATTCTTAATTTCTTATTATTTATAAATCAGATAGTATAAATTTATAAATTAACTTACTTTATTTTTTATATCATATGGTATTAATTTAAATTTTTAACCTCCTTCTCATTATTAATTTATTATTATATATTATTACTCTATATTAATTTATTATTAGATTCATTATGCGTTCAACTGAGTAATTTCAAATTCGGAGCGTTTCTGTGTAACATGCAACATCGTGTGACCACTTCTAAAATAACAAAATAAGCCCTACAACATTGCCGGAGTAACCGAATAACCCTTATAATACTGACTGAGTAATTCCTATAATATTAATGAAGTAACCTCTTACTCTTATCATCATTACTTATTAGTCTTATGTTGTACTCCGTGTTATTTACCTATTTTGTAGTCATGTTTTTATTTTAATTTCAAAATTAATAAGCTTGTTATAACCAATTAAGTAAAGTAACTACTAGTCTACTATAATTAGTAACTTGCTAATTAAAACAAGATTTAAATATAACCGGTAACTATTACTCTAAGTCTATAACTTTGTAGCGTGTTTATAATCTAACCAATTACAACTCAACTCGTTTAAATATATTATTCAACTCATTTCAACCCACTATTCGATCAACTCGAATTGTTTAAGTCTTGACTCAATTATGATTCGATTAATTAGTGTATGACTTGATATATAAGCCCAACATCTTTATGACCCAACTCGATTATGCCTAAGTCATCCGACTCGTTTTAATCCACTATACGATCAATCCAACTTGTACATGACCCTTATTAATTATGAGTTTTTGACCAAACTCGTTCAAACTTCCTACCCAATTAGCCTAGCTTGTTTATGATCCAACCAATTACAATCTACTTGTTTTAGAGTGTTTAGTTGATCAACCCAATTGTTTAAGTCTTGACTTGATTTTGATCCAATTTGATTTCGTGTATAACCTGATAAACCCAACCTCTTTATGATCGACTTAACCCGTTTTCAGTTCAACCCAATCGATAATGACCCGACCCCGATAAAGAACCGATCCGATTAAGACCCGACCCGAGTACAAACCACAAAAAAAAAAAAAAAAAAAAAAAAAAAAAAAAACCAAACTGAACTGACCAGATAATTTTCGAAAACCAACCCGAACCAACCCGTTTGCAAAATTGAACCTATTATAACCCGAAACCGATTTACTCAACCCAAAACCAAACCGTTTATCCGAATTGGCATCCCTAAATATAATACTACTTCTATATATTACATTATATTGTATTTTAAGACATGGAATAAAATTAATTTATAGTCGGGTCTTGTGCGGACGCAGTTGCATATGTTGCACCATTCATGGTCGGGTCAGGTTTGTGCATGTCAAAAAATTTCTGATTAAGATTGTGTTCTATTCACCTAATTTTTAATCACTAAAACACTAATCAGAACTTGTTTGAATTTTTAAAACTTATTTTAGTTAAATGTAAATGGAACTTTGGCAATCCTTGTCAACCCTTTTCGTAACTTATTTCTTTTAAATATAATGTAAACTTATTTGAACAAATAAGACATGTAGTAAGTGAAGCTAATAAGTTCAAATAAGGTCAACATACTAGGGAATAATTCAAGCTAAGGCATAACTTCACTTTTGAGAAAGAGATTGTAAAAGGGAGAGTGATGTATCTCTTATTGTATCATCCATGAAAGCAATTAATAAGGAAACTGTCCCTTGTCTCGTGGAGTAGGTTAGTAGTGAGCCATGAACAATATATTTGTTATACATATTCATTACTTTTATTTCTCATATTAATTTTTGAAAAAAAACTAGTTTTATTAATCTAAATTATGGTCGTTTTCTTTTTATTATAAATTCCCATTATTACACATTCGGATTTTAATTTCACCAAATGCCACTAAGCTTTTTAAAAATTCACCAAATGCTCCACAAGTTTCAAAATTTTATCAAATATCACTCAACTTCCATACAAATTAGACCTGGCAAATGGGTCATTCGAGTCGGGTATGAGTCGGGTCATTTCGAGTCGGGTCAAGTTCGGGTTAAAAAGTTATCGGGTCAAGTTCGGGTCGGGTCATTTCAGGTTTCGGGTTAAGTTCGGGTCAACTGATAATTGGGTCGTGTCGGGTATCGGGTCAACACTTCGGGTCGAGTTCGGGTCAGGAATCGTTTTTTACTCAAGTGGCCTAGAAGATTTTGTATTCCAAGAATCTCAAAATATGTAAAATACTTACACTGTTACACATTACAAATTAATAAATAAAAAATTAAGTTAGTTTGATTGCGGTTATTTTCTATTTTAGTTTGCTCAGGTCAAATCGTTAGCTTAAATAGATTCTGGTCATTTTAGGTATAAAGTAATTTTAGTTCGGGTCACTTTGGGTTTCGAGTCTATTTGGATCAACTAATTCAAGTTAAAGGTCGGGTCGCTTTGAGTATCGGGTCAACTTCGGGTCAGGAAAACTTCGGTCTCGGGTCACTTCGGGACCCACAGCTATAGGACGAATACCACTACCAGGATTGACAAGAGGTGTGAGAGAAGCACTAGCAATATACTCTCCTAGCACTACTAGAAAACAGGCCATTTCTAACGGAAAAATTCTGTCAGAATCACCCTGAATTTCGTCGGAAAACCCGATTCCGACAGAAATTCCGTCGAAAACGGTTGTCGGCAACCCTTTTGTAGGAAAAACGACCTTTTTCGACGGAAATTTCGTCGGAAACACTTTTCCAGTGAAAGTTCCGTCATAACTTTTTTGTCGGAAGAGGATTTCCGGCACCAGAAAAATCAGTCAGAAATTTCCAACGGATACTGTTCCGCCAGAAAATTTTCGTCAGAAAATGCTTTAAAAAAACAAAAAAAAAACGCCTCCCACCACCTCCACCACCAGCCCACACCACCAGCTACCAGCCCACACCAGCCACCTTAACCTACCAGTCACACCAACCTTAACCAGAACCCACCCACCAAACCCACCTAACCTGAACCCACCACTTTAACCCACCTAGATACCACCCAAAACTACCCGAAACCACCCCAAAATACCCAAAACCACCCACATCTAGAACAAACGGCCACCTACAACCACCACCCAGACCCACGCCACCAAACCCACGAAACCACCAAAACCCTAACTAAACCTAACCCACGCCACCAAACCCAACGAGACCACCCAGAAACCACGAAACCACCCAAAAATTCACACATTGCCACCCACCACCAGCCCACACATCACACACAATAACTCAAAAACCCAAAAAATTTTAAAAAACAAAGAAAAAAAACTTAGAAAAGCGAAAAATTATAACATAAAACATACCTTGAATTGAAATGGGCTTCGAATTTCACCACGAAAATGGTTTTACAAGGCCAAATTCGGCCATGAAAAGTCTAGATCTAGGCTTTTAATGGACGAATTTGGCCTAAAAAACCTTTAAAATAATCAAAATAAAATATTGTGGGCTTATATAGGTTGCGCAGTGGTGGTGGTGGTGTTGGTTGCGCATCGGCGGTGGGTTTTGTTGTTGGTTTGAGAAGGATAAGGAGAAGAGAGGAGAACTCAGAAAAAGAAGAGAAATGACGAGGAGAAGAGATATGAAGGAAGGAGAAGGATAAGAGAGAAAAAGAGAGGGCAGAGGAGAGAAGGAGGGCGGAGGAGAGAGAAGGAGGGAGGAGAGAGAAGGAAAGAGGAGAGGAGTTTACAGAGAAAGAGAAGAGGAAAGAGGAGAAGAGAGGGAAAGAGGAGAGGAGAGAGAAAGAGAATAGAGAAGAGGAGAGGAGAGAGAAAATAGAAATGAAAGGGGAAGGGGTAGTTCCATTTTTTTTAGGGTTTGAATTTTATTTTTATTTTTTTTTTAAAAAAGCCATAATTTCGTCGAAAAGGCAGTAAATTCTGTCAGAAAATCCGTCGGAAACTAATTATTTTTCGACGGAAAATCCGTCAGAAACTAAGTATTTTTTATGGATATAAATTCCGTGAAATTTCCGACGGAAAATCAAAATTCGTCGAAAATTTCTGACGGATTTTCGTGTTCGTCAGATGACATCCGTCGGAAATTGACCTTTTCTAGTAGTGTAGTTCCATAGGACATCTTCCAGCTAGAAAGAGATTAACCACCTCAGAATAGAGTCAACTAACTCATTTGAGACAACCACAGCAGCACCACTCAAGCAATTCATAAGGTGCTAAGCACGTAAACTGTCCCTGCCACATGATGTGCCACGTGGAAAACTCTTAATTCGATCCAAAACAATAGCAGAAGTAGTAACGAGATGAAGGCCATCAACAGGTATATCAGGAAAGGATGGAGCTGGAGAAATAGGGTGTTTAGATTGTAAATCAGCAAGAGTAGCGTCATTATAAGGAGCAACGCCTGAAGAAGAAAGAACCCGGACTGCAGCAGTGTAATGGCAGTCACAAATCTTCTTACGACATTGCTTGATATTACGCTCCTCCAAATAAAGGTCCTCATCACCAACCACTGATAAAGTAGGAGAATCCTCTGCCAAAGTATCCCTCACAAGCTGCAAATTACCACCTGGTGCACTCCAAGAACAAATAGCACCAGAAATACTCTCTTCCTGATGCCGACGTTTTACCGAAGACCTAGACTCAGAGCTGCTCCGCGGGCGAAAGGTTTTAAGGGTACAAAGAGGTAACACCAACAAAGAGACCCAACTAGAAATGTCATCAGGCCTAGAGATTACCTTATCAAGGACACCTTTTAGAACCCGAGAAAATCCCAAACGACACTTGGGAGGTATAGACTTCACAGTACGAAACCCCTTAGAGAACAAACAATCAAGAAGAGCCACATCAAAACCACAATGTTGATCTTACACCAAACCACCTATGCGCCCAAGCTGAGCCAAAGAAGAGGGAGCTTGCGGCTTGGAGAAACCATGAAGCACAAAACGAACAATACCATCTCCTTCATCCGGGGGTGACACAACCTCACTCGGACTATGACGACACTTAGTAGACGCGTGAAATTCGCCTAACTGATTACCCAACACCTGATCAGACCTTACACCGGAGATGTAGCCGGAAATAGACGCGGAACTGCACCAAATCAGCCCAAAACTACACCAAATCCAGCCCGAAACTACACCAAAAAGACGAGGAAATTGCACCAAAAAACCGAGAACCCGCACCTGACCAGAACGCAGTGACCTGATCGTCGGATAGCGCCGGAAAAGGAACGTGGAAACCTACCCTACCCTGCCCTAATCGCCCCTAAACAAGAGTTCCTTTGGAGTTCTTTTATTATAATTATAATTATTATTATTATTACATTCCCCCCAAACTTGGTTCATCAAGTTAGTACATATATTAGTAACCGTATATATGTTAGAGTGAAATTTAAAATATATAAATCCATTTTCTAGTAACAGAGATCATGATTCATGAAATTAGTTATAAATAAAATGGATAATTTAGCAATAATAAGTTATTAGCAATCGAAATAATCATTTAGAGAAAGTTGTCATACATGAGAAATGATTTGGGAATTTTTCCCCGCCACGTGGACCAATCATGTGTTGCCATGTGTCCTCCACGTGGACCAATCGGAGTCTGCCACGTGTCAGCTCGTAGAGGTCCAAAGTAGACCTATCAGGCCACGACACGTGGAAGACAGAAAGACCTGTCAGAAAAGCAGCCTGCAAACGGCCCAACTTCCCAGGCAAGCCCAGTCAGTCCTAGGTTTCCCAGAAACCTAGTATTGGGCACAGTGTCCCAAACTATAAATAAGGTGTTTCCTCCAAGGGAACACCTATTCAGAAATTTCTAAACACATTCAGGGAGCTTCATATCACATATGATAGGCGCTCTCACCTACTCTGACTCTCAAAGTAGAGAACTTGTCAGTTACCTGACATCCCAGACTAAGCAATCATACATTGCAGATCCTCTCTTGAAACCCAAGGGAGACTCTTTACTTTCCGCATTTAACTCCTCAAACACGTTCTAACTTGACCGTTGGAGGCAGAGCTCCCATCAACCGGAGTCTCCGTTATTTTGCAGGTACAGGCGTCCGGAAGTCAGTCTTGGATTTGTAACTCTCCCGCAGGACATCAAAAAACCCCGAAACATTTGGCGCCGTCTGTGGGGAGAGTACATTTAAGATGACTTTACAAGAACCTGTACCGAGTCTAAGTGAGAAGCAGCCTTTGGCCGACGTCCTGGTCACCTCAGACCAGGACACCGATGACAACTATGATGTCGTCACTCACACGGCATCTGACGGGACCCTAAGGACTCGGCGTGTCCGCCCCACCGAAAGGAGGGAACGGACCGTCGGCCAGGCCGGGCCCAGTGGAACAGTCGTCCCGTTGACTGTTCACCAGGAAGCCGAGGGATCCACCCCTATTACCAGAAACGAGCTCATGAGTCTCATGACAAGTTTCAAAGGGGAGATCAAGGATCTCATTGCTGGGCAAACGGCTGCTCCTGCCAAGGAACAGTCGGCCAAAAAGGCCTCCCATTCAGGGAGAAGCAAACTAGTCAAGGATCGAGAGCCGACTCCTTAGCCAAAACCAAGGGTAGGGCCGAAGCCCTCCGCAATCTTGGTCGGACTCAACTTTCCTGCTCAAGGAAACAGAAAAGCTATCCGGCAGATTCTGCTGGATGGTTCCAAGAAAATATATTCCGATGCTCGGATGATAATCCAGCAAAAGAAGAATAGGCAGCTATCAGAGTCGGCCTCCACGGAAAACTTCAATGATAGTTTCCAGAATACCTCAATGAGGTATTCCAATCTACCCCAGGAGGGTCAGACAGGCGGCACGTCCGCCCAATCTACTCCTCAATTATACCAGACGGCCCCGTATGTCCCTCACCAGCCATACGGGCCGTATGGACAATTTTATGTGCAGCCTACTCCTTTTGGGGGACAGGCGGCACCTGCAGTCCAGCCTCTGGACTGGCAGCTTCGGCTGCAGAGACTTGGGGGACAGCCTACGGCTTTCTCCAAGGAAATAACTGAGGCCGCACAGCCGACTAAAGTTAAAAATGTATTGGTAGGCACCTACAACGGTACCACCAATCCTGAAGACCACTTAATGGCTTACACCAACCTTATGTATTTACAAGGGTTGGACGACGCCACGTGGTGTAAATGCTTCCCGGCCACATTGAAGGGAGTCGCCCAACAGTGGTTCGGTAACTTGCCTTCCGGATGCATTAACAATTTTAGGACGCTTGCATATCTGTTTGCGTCCAATTTCTCAATGAACATCCCGGCTAAAAATTCGAGCCTTGACCTCGGCACCATACAACAGGGAGAAAAAGAAGGGTTGCGTTCATATATCAGGCGCTTCAATCTGATGAGAATTCAGATTCAAGGGTTGTCTGATGAAGTAGCCTATACAGATTTTTTCAAAGGTCTGAAGGACGGGTCGGCCTTTAAGTTCGACCTTGTCAGAAAGAGGGTTGCTACCCTCCAAGAAGCATTGATGGAGGCGGACGCTTATATACAGGCGACCGAACTCTGCAATGTTGGAAAACAGCCGGACTCAAAGAGGTCCGACAAGAAAGAAAGTCGGCCTCATCAGCCGGCTAACAAAGAAGAGTTGAAAAGAAAA